CACACACACACACACACAAGAAGATACAGTATATACATAAATCCACCAACCTCAGCTGCATTCAGCCAGTACTGAAACACAGCTGTTCTTTGTTCTCGTGTCATACTGTAGGAGAAGAACACAACGCAGCAAATCATTCAAAAGTTGTTTTAATTGATATAGTCTCATTTTAAATAGTGCACAAATCTTAGTCCTTACGTTTTGGCTACAGAATTCTGTGTTTTCAGTTCTTGCTCCTGTAAAGCCTGATAGAAGTGGACCCTGGCTTCACTCAGCTCTCTCAACTCTCGCTTTTGGAAGAAAAAAATAGGTTTTAATAACCAACAAATGATCTGTTTTACACTACTTATGTAACCAAATCTATTTTAGAGTTACGTGTTTATTCACGATTCTTTATTTTGCTTAAAAATTTTAAGAATTTACCAAAGAAAAAGCAAACTGTCATGTATTGATTTATTTTGGAGCTGTTGAATAAAAAAAAACCTAACAAAACACAGTAGTTATGTTCACTGCTGTGTTGTCTGCCTGATTAAAACCAGTCAGTTCAGGTAAGTAACTTAAAAGCCTGATTTAACTCGTACCAGGACTTGTGCCACAGCGACTGGCTGAGAATTGAAGCTGTCATCAGTTTTGCTGCTATAGAGCCCATCATCAAACAACACCTCAGTTTCTGCTTTCCTGCAACACACACACATTTTTTAAGTATTTATTTAGGGTTCTTTTTTTTCCCACCTGCCACATGATTTATGACAGGCTTGCATTAATTTAAAAAGCATTATTCAAGTGATTTTTATGCCGTACCTCTCTAACTGCTCCAGCACTTGGGTGTGGCTGCTGATTTTCTGCACGTCATCAGCGAGCGTCTTACGGCTCAAGATGCAGCGCTGCCTAAAGGCCTGCAGAAGCAGCTCTCTGCTCTGGCTGTCCTCCATTTGGGCCCAAATATGACTAAGTGACCGCTCTGCAACAGTGACACCCATAAATCTTCAAATAACTACTAAAACGCAAATAATGTAACTATACAAATAAAATAAATGAGCTAGACTCTTGACTAATTATTTCACATCTAATGCTGAGCCTATACAGCATGAGGTAGACTAACCTTGTGTGGCTATTTGCTCTTCTGTTCCACTAATCTGATAGTCCAGGTGGCTGATGTCAGCTTTCAGCTGCTCCATCTTCTTCTGGAGCTCTTTACGCTTTGCAGCCTCAGTCTGGCCTTTAACCTGCCCCAACTGTGAAAGCAAATTTGTTAAACATACATGATATTTCCATGTTTATAATAAATCATACAAAAACTAGGTTTGCCCTACCTCTTTCTCCTGTAGTACTTTGTACCTTTGAGGTCAGAAGGTTAGGGAAATTTCAAAGTTATGTAATTAATAAAAGTCCACATGAGGAGAGGTACAGATTGTGACATGCATACTGTGGAAATAAATGGCTGACAATTCATAAATACATTCAATTCAATGTGGCAAATGAATCTGACATGCAATGACATTATTAGTGAGAGTCAGCTAACCTAAACATTTAATATACAGAGCAGATTGTATTCTAAGGCACATATTAGCTTTGCACTACTTATAAAAGGTTATTTTTGTAACTAATTAAGGGTTCTTAAAAATACTGTAAAGAATAAAGCCAGTGAAGGATACCATTGAAGATTGCCACGCATGATCCTCACGTGTCTGTGAAAAAAATATAGTTTTGCCACTTCCATAATGTCTTAGAGTTGCAATTTTGTACACATACACTTGGTTTATATAGTTAGAGTAGAGAGAATATAACAGCAATAATAAAAATATATAAATAAGAACAGAAACTGGGACAAATAAGAGCAATGGGTGGCTGTTAATGTTATTATTACACTTATATAACAACAATAAACAACTGCAATATCATTGTATAACACGTTTTTAGAAACTAGTCTGTTCATCCAAGCAGAAATGATTGTAAATCAGCAGAAAGTCACTCAACAACAACTACAACTACAACAACAACAACAACAACAAC